CCTCGGCTGTTCTAAAGACCCTGCTGGCTGTCTTCCCCGAGGCAGAGTGTTACTCAGACAGAGTGGGTTCCAGGTGTACCTGTACGGGTGTGGTGGAGGGCTGGGGAGAGTGCTTCCCAAGCCTGGCACAGGGTTGCCAAGTGGGCTGAGCTCCCTCCTGCTCTCAGGAGGGCTAGAGGAGAGCCATCGTCAAGGTGGCCACTCCTGCCTGCAGGCAGGTCAAGACCAGCACATGCATTGTTCTAAGGCTCCTCTTCAGGGAAGGGGAGGCTGGAGTGGGGGGGAGCGGGGAGGGGTCTTGGCTTCTAGGGTACAAAGCAAGATTAAGGAAACTTCATAGATTTGTGGAATGAGAGCCTGGGCTCTGCACTCAAGTTTCTAAGTTAGCACGTTAGCCACATTTCCAGTGACTGGCACCGCAGTGCTTCCCCAAGAGTGTTCTGGGGAACACCAGCTTCAGGAGGCACTTTGCAGAAACAGGGTCCCATTGTCAAATACATGTGAGGAAGACCAGAGGTTACATCTCCCTTTTGTCGAGTCACATTCCCATTGCAAAGGCTGTGAGAAGTCCCGCAATGACGAACCCAGTGCTGCGGAAACTCAACTAGTGGGAGAGCTTCCTTTAATGAATGACACTGACTAACATCCCACAGAACACACTCGGGAGATGGGCGGCAAGGCCATGGGTGTCAGGGCCAGCCTGACAGGTTGAGCCGGGCTGAGGCAGGGAGGGAGGAATTGAGAAAAGAAAGAAAGACAGGAAAGCGGGGTCGGGAGGACTCCAGCTCTCGAAGAACTGAAGTGAAGTTTATTAGCCACACAATCTTGTTTATACACAACACACTGAATAGGAGGTCTGTCAAGAGGAATGTATTCTTTGTTCCTCTTAATCTCTAAGGGAGAGACACAGCAGAAGGACAAGTTCTCAGTACAGCATATCTCAGTAAATAGTTACAGACTTCTTGGTAAGCCATGAAAGGCTGTTCTCATTCTACAAAGGTTGCTCTCATTCTACTGATAATCGCCATCCAAACAAGTCTGGGAAAACTGTGTGGGTAAGGGTCCCAGGCTTGCTAACCCCTTCAGGTGCAAGGACCTTGCCAGCTTACATCTGGCCCCCGACACATGGGGTCCCAGCCTGAAGTCATTTCTCACCTCCCAGGACTCTCCCTCCTGAAAGCTGGGTTTCTGCTCCCAGTGGCACCAATCCCCGCACTCTCCTTGGCTTTGCCAGTCTTGACCTCAGGTGTCTTCTGTCTTTTTACCATGTTGTTTCATTAGAAAATGCTTCCCAGCTGATATCGAAAGGGAGTGACCAGTGGAAGATTTCTATCACTGCAGGGTCCCCTGGACCTCCCGCCCAGGGAAGTGGAGAGACCATTCTTCCCTGGCTGGCAGACTCCGGAAGCTGTCACCTGCTTGTGCTGATGTGGGCCTGGGTTTGTCCCAACTCAGAGAAGCTCCTGATTCTTCTCTCTCTTTTCCCTCAAAAGGATTTTTTCTCCAATTTCTATTTTAAAGGACCAGGACTTGTCTAACACAATGGGGGTCCTAAGGAATCCAAAAGGTGCATCTTGAACCAGGTTCTAGTCAAGACAGAGGTTTTCTGGTTTCTTTCTTGTGCTCAGCCCTCCACACCTGCGCAATAGGACCTTGTCTCCTTCCCTTCTCTCCTGGCTCCACCTGACCACTAACCAAGGGCTTCTGAAATACTTTACTCCACCCTCTCCAATCATGTTTAATTGTCCCCCTCTTCCTTGAATATTTACACACACATACACATGCACATACAGAAACACACATGCATGCACACACCTACATGCACACATGCGGACACACCTACAGAAACACACACACACACACACACACACAGTCTCCCACCGTTGCAATCTGTGACACCGTCCTCCTTCCAACCTTTATCTAGGTGCAGACAACTTGGCACAGTCTAAGTAGGAATGCGGGTGAAAAAGGTAGGGATTTCTTTATCTATCTGTCAGCGCCTCTTCATTACGGACGAGCTCATTTAAAATGCGGAGACTTTGCCTCCCACCGGCTGTACCCCAGGAAGATCTTTATTCCCTGCAGATGCTCATGTACTTGCCCACATCACGGTGACAAGAGGCCGTCCCTCCCAGGTGGGCACAGATGGGAAAGTGCCTGTCGGTGCCCTGTGCATCAGGAGTGAGGATGAGAGGTGGAGAAGCAGAGGAGGCCCAGGGCCCCACGAGAAGCCAGAAGCCCCGACAAGGAAAAGACACCGTGAGGATAAAGGAACTCAGACCGAGGAAGACGTGGGTTCTTTCCCCATCCCAGGTGAAGAGTGGGTTTCCAGGAATCCTTTCACAGGTTCACAGTGAACTCTCCCTTATCAACACTCTCCCTTGACCATTTCATTCTCTTTAGTCTTGGCATCATGCACAGCAGATAAACTGCTGACACTTATTGTCTCTGTCACAAAACACAGCTTCGAATTATTGGTGAGCAACTGGTGGTCCCACAGGAGGGGGAGAGGAAGCCAGAGGAGATCCACTGTGGGGGTTGTGGGGGTTAGGGATTAGATATGGATGGCAGAGTTGGGGTGGGGGTGGGGAGGGGGTCAGCCTGGGGACCCACCATTCTTGACCACATCTGTTTAAATTCAGTGACGGTAAAACATGAGCCCATGGGAAGACGGTGACCTTCCCTCCCCCTCCCCCCAGCTCCAGGCCCAGCCCAGAACAGGAATCAGATCCATGGAGACAGGAGCCAGAACCAGGCAGTCAGGGTCGCTGGCTGGCTCACCTGTGTCCCCTGGGTGAGAAGTGGGAGCAGTGTGAGTGCAATGTGTACTTCACACCTGCACCCCCCCCCCCATGAGGCTTGATCTAAAGCACTGTGTGGTCATCACAGCCTTTATTCCCTTTGGAGCTTCAATACCCTTGGATGTGCCACAGGACCGGTCTAAGCCCATTTTGTTAGAAACTTGGAGCTTCGCCGAGCCTCCTCCCCTTGATGTCTGGGAACAGGTGAGATGACGATGGGCTCGGGCCCCAAGGTCCCCCTTGCCCTGCTGGCAGGGAGCCGGGCTGTAGGTCCCTCACACCTGAGCCCAGAGGAGCAGAGATCAAGGAACAAAGGGCCATCTGAGCTGGTCATTCCTCTCCACACAGTCCTGGGGCAACGCCAGCAGTACCCCAGGCAGGGACCCAGAGGAGGAGTGGCCTTGGTGGGAGGGCTGTGCCTGGCCGTCTGGCTCTCCTGGCCTCAGGGTCTGGCTGCATTGCCACACGGGCTGCAGCAGCATTGGGTCCAACAAGCCCCGGGCTGAAGTTTGTGCAAGCTGCGGGTGGCACCTCCCATGCTCCCCTCACCCGTCTTCCCTCTCCTGCTTTCTCTCCGGGTCTCACTCTTTTGTGGGTTGTTTGCCTCTCCTAGTCTTTTACTTTTTCCTTGAGCATTGGTGCCTATCAGTGCAATCGCAGCTGTGCCTTATCCTGCCTTTGAGTTTTAAAAGCCCCCCTGCTGTGGATGGTCCATGGGACACGCAGTTCCTCCACAGCAAGACTGAAGCACCAGAGGGCCCCACATCGCCCAAGAGTGCGTGGCTGAATTAGCTAATAATCAGGTAAAACCGCGCATTTTCTATCTTCGCTGTCTCCGTGAAGTCTTGCACCTGCTCAGACAGACGGCTGTGATGGGGATGCAGCAAATGAGCAGCCATCGCCTGGGAGGCTGTGCAGATGGTGTGGGAGCACAGGGTGCTGGCCCAGTTCATCAAAGGGAAGGCGACTCGCTCTCCGCTCTCCGTGGCAGCACGAGGGCCCGACTGGCTGGCGAACAGCTGGGTGTGAGTTTGGGGATGCGGCTGCCAGAGAGAAATGTCCTTCTTGGGCAAGCAGAAGGCTTCGTGATTCCGCTGGCCATGCAGCAGCACCGAAGTCACTGTTTGCCACACGGCTCAGCTCATCAGCTCATCCCAAGTGAGGCCTGAGGTCTGGCCCCCACAGGCACCCAGCCCTGGGCCACAGTGCACAGCAGCCCCAGGCACATCTTGAGGCGGGAAAAGGAGCAGGAGGCCGAGGCAAATACCAGGCCAGAGCTGGATGGAGGGAAAGGAATATCTCCCTCTGCTCTCCCCACCCCCTAAAACCCCACACCCAGCTAAGACCAACTTGAAAACTGAAAATAGGGGCTGGAGGGAGATGCGGAGAGAACAGCCCTGAAGGAAAGTCGTTTTTGACCAGAGGGGTGGGAAAAGGTCCTCTCTTCCCTCAGTTGGCAAAGTGGTTGATTGTGCAACCTGTGAGCCCAGTGCGGCACCTCTTATCTGCTCCTTCGCGTCCGTTAAACTGACAAAGGGGAACTGTCCCCACACGGGGCCCACAGTTAGCTCCGACTCACGCTGGGGCAGGTCTGGGGTCGGCCCCTTCCAGGTGCTGGCTCTTTGCTCACCAGAGACGCCTTCCCACCCAGCTCTGCTCCCCGAGAGACTGCACAACGGGAGGCCACATGCGTGGAGTGAGGGTGGCATTCAGTCTTGGCTTCCCAGAGAGAATCAAAGCCGGGTTAGTAAGTTAATCGTTTACAGGCCACCTGGGACCCTTGAATGATAAGGAGAGCCTTACCCTGGTGAAAACATTGTTCGGGGTCAGAAGTTTCTGGGGAGATGTCTTTGAGTCCTGGGGTGGGAGCAGCCAGGCCCTCCGGGAAGGAGGCACCAGGGCAGGTCCCGAGCATGCACTGGGCCTCGGCGGCTGTGGCCACACACGCCGGGGACACCGGCCATGCAGGCTGGCCCTGAGCCCTTCTCCTGGGTCTGGCTCCCTCTCAGCCCTGCCTCGAGCCCTGGTTCTCCCCTCACTTTGCCCAGTTTCCTGTGCGCATTGGAGAGATTGTGGTGTCTGCCATCATGCTCCAAATGATTCCAAACCATCAGTTTACAAATCTCGGAGTTCTAATATTCTCATCATTAATAGTAACGCTGCTTCTCCTCCTCATTCTTTTCTTCTTCAAGCATCAAATGATTTCAAAACATTTATTTTATTTGGTGTCTCGAGGATGGGCTTAACTCTGAGTCAGTTCCATTTTGGCTCTTGGCAAACAGTGTCCAGCTGGGACATGTGCCGCTCAGCCACGGGGACCCCATCCACCCACCAGGACGAATTCACCAGTCCAGTGACGCCCCTGGTCCTGGAACTGCAGTGATGGGTGCCCCTGGTCTCCTTAGATTGAACTTGAGCCAGGAACCGCCAGACCCAGGTACCATTCCAGGCTTCAAACTGACTAGAGCATCGCCGAAGTCCTTTCCAACTACTGCAGTCTATGCCTTCGCCACGCAGCCCTTTCACGGTGGCACCTCCATCACCCCTGCCTCCTGCTTCGTTTTTATCTAGAAAGCAGTAAGAGTAGAGAGTGAGAGAAGGCTGAGTAGCAATTCACTCCTGAAATCAGGGGTTCAGATCAAGTTGGGGGCGGGGTGAGCATGATGCCCAGACCTGACATGCTGACCGCTGGGTGAATTATTTTCACTTCTGTGAAAAAAGCCTCTCATGTTGCTTTGCCTGAAGCCTGCCGCATCTTAAAACCACCGGTGTCACGAGCTGTCTTATGGAAAGTGGAAATGGGCAGGATGTGGTTTGAACTGACACACAAAAAAAAAAAAAAAAAAAGAAAAGAAAAAGAAAAAAAGGAGGCAGCTCATTTCTCTTCAGGGAGTTTAAAGTGATGGCAAGGGTCAGACCAGAGACTGACATGGAGCCAACAGGCCAATCAGGTCTGGATCAGCCAAACCAGTTGCTGATCAAACAAAGGTGGTAAAGCAACAAGAGAACACATATGCACACAACAACCAAAACACAAAAACAAATCAACTAAACATATTTCTGGTTTCCAGGAGTAAAACTTTGCAATTATATAGCAACTTGCACATGGCAAGAAATACTCACCTACACACGATGCTCGAGACAGCCGACAGAGAATGCAGAGCTGGGCCGCTATTCCTGCTTCGGGAGAAGAGCACTGCAATAGGGTGTGGTTATGAGGAGGCAAGTTACAAAGGGGGTGTGGGGATCCAGGACTCCTGAGGCTCGATCCAGAGGTATGTTTGGTTCTCCTGAATCCATGTAAACAGAGACCCATTTCAGAGGAAGAAGCAGGTCCCCAAGGTGGAGACCCCTTGAGTCACCATGCTGCCTTGGCCAGGGAGCCACGTCCCAGCCTGACGGTGCGCCCTGGTGCCTGTCAGCTTACCGGCCCATTGAGACACTCAGTAAAAAGTCTGTTAACTCAACAATTGATTATAAATAATGAAAGCACCCAGAGGCCACTACAGTGGGGCCTTGACTTACGAGTGTCCCGACTAACGAGTTTTTTGAGATACCAGCTGTCTCTCAGCCGATTTTTTGCATTGAGTTGATAGAGTAATTTGAGTTAACGAGCTCCTTAACGAGCTCCTTAGCTAGCTCGGTCTCAGAACGAATTAAACTCGTAAGTCAAGGCCCCACTGTAATTTCCAAAGGTTTAGATTCAGAATTCTCTGAGCTACCGAATGATCTTGTGGTAAATGTTCCATGCTGCCCTCCTGAATTGGGGAGACAGAGGAAAAGCCCTTCTTAGCTTTCCTGGGAAGGAGAAGAGTGGATATGAAAACAACAGGAGTGGATGAGTACCTGGAAACCGAAGGTGGCCCACGTTTCTCAGAAAGAGAGAATCACCTGGCTCCATCACTTTCTATCCCAGGTCCATTTCCACCAGACAAGTCTCACCTGTGGGACCTTTCTCCACGTGTCTGTTAACACATGTGTCTTTGATGTGGGGAACTGTGTGGAGGAAGGTAATTATCCCAGCACCTTTGTTGATTGGCTGGTGTAGGTTGTTGTCCTTCTAAATGACTTTGGGGGAAGTGACATGATGTCTCTGGGTGTTCGTTTCCTCATCTCTAAAATCTGGGTGATGATAACAGCACCCACATTGTGGGTGGCCATGAGGATGTAGTGATGTCATCCGTGGAAATGCTCAGAACAGTGCCCGGCATGGAGTGAGCGCCCAGGACATGGCAGGGACTGTCCCCCGCAGGGTGCTTGACACAAGGTAATCGTTTTCAAATTATAAAACCTCAGCCTGCGTGTTTTTTTTCCTGCACAGACATTATCCAGAGCAGCAGAGCTGTTTAATGTTGCCCTGGCTTCCTTCCCTCTGTTCTGGGGAGGAAGTGGGGAGGGCAGAGGGAAAAGGAAGGACACGCACGTGTGGCAAACACCACCCTGCACACACCTCTGAGACATTCATGCACTCACACACACCGAAATCACACTTTATTTTTAGCACACAAAAGTGCTTAATACATGATAAAGGTTACACTTCACATCCGTGGGGAAAGAAAGGAGGGCTCAATAAACGAAGCTGGAACAATTATTCCTAATTATTTAGGAAAATGAGTCTATTTTTATTCTTTAACCACACACCAATTTTACAGATGGATCAGAAATTAATGCCCTCCCCAATCCAAAGTCAAATCGATGCATTTCAGAATGAAGGATGCCTTACTAAGCACAAAGGGGACAGAACAAGAGGAAAAAAATTACAGATGTGACCACATAAAACACCAAGCCTGTGAAAATCACAAAAGTAATAAAATCAAAGGGGAAATGTCACACCAGATGAAAATATTTGTCATATATGTGAGAGCCCATTATTCCATTGGGTGACTTATATTTTTTATTCACCTTTAAGAGCTCTTTATTAAGGAAGTCAGCACTTGTGTCTCATACGTGTCATATGCCATTATCCACATGTTTGTGGTGGTGCCTGTCTCCTGAGAATATTTAACCCCTATGCTGTTAAATTTGTAATTCTAACAGAAATTAATTATAAGCTGACTTCATATATATATGTATGGCCACCTCTGATGCCACCTGAGATATGAATTGCCAAGAATAACAGAAGCTGAGCGATAGAACTGTTCGTTGTTAGAGCTTTAGTTGAGAGGGAATACACTGAATTTTAGATCTAGGCTCTTCTGCTGCCTTAAAAAAAAATCCCTGGTAACTATTTTTGTTGGAATTTTGACATAAAGCTGCCATTCTTAAAGCCTTAGAGCCCTGTCTGTTTTCAATCCATGCCCTCATTTCTTTGTCTGAAACACCAGCCAAGTCACCAACTTTCACTGAATGTTTTTAGAGGCAGAAGCCAGGAAAATTATCACACCCACGAGTGACTGGCTCCATGTTGAGTGGCAGGCACTGGACGTTCTGTGATGTTATTCTTCATACCTTTCAAAGTCTCCTTGATCTGTGTAGGCTACATAACAATATGCCCAATTCCTTGACTGCTTTCCATTTTGTTTTCAAGCTGGGCATGTGGTATTTCCAAACAAGATCTAGAACAGGTAGGCATGAAATCCAACCCTCATGATTTCATTAGGTGTCTTTAAATCTCCATGAAGTTTTTATTAGTTCTGGTAACCAAGAAAGAAAGAAAAACAAAACAAAACAAAAACACAGCAAGTCATTTGTTAAAGTCATAAAGCTGAACTAAATGGATAAGGTCCTCTAATTGACCTCGAGGAAGCTCAGGGACACTGTAGATCAGCTGCTAAATGACTTGTGATGTCTCGATTTAGAGTAGATGTCTGGCTCCCCAGCAGATTTGTCTGCCCATAAATCTCTTGATTAGGCTAAAGGCCTCTGCCAACATAGCCAGATCTTCAATTCAGTATGTCCTTCATTTGAGCTAATATCATGACTGAAAGCACATTCGCTCTGGGTGACACAATATTTAAATTTAAAATTGTGTTCACAGTTCATTTCCAAGACATCAATTTATTAGTGTAGGTGGGAGATGGAAACCACCAAGGTTGTAGCTATGATGCTGTAGGAGGTTTATTAATTGAAACTGCGGGCTAAAGGCAGAAGCTCTGTCTGACTTCATACTGCCTGCCAAGGATGCCTGGTTTTCAGTGCATTAGTGCCCCTTGTGGGAAATACTGTTAAACATTTATTTTTTTTATGGTTCGGTTCAGGCTCCACAAGACATCACTGAAATGTCCAAAGTAAATTCTTAGTATAAGTCACTGGCATTGAACATAAGCCAAGAGCTTCTTGCTATATCTCACTTGCCTGTTCAAAAGAGAACAACTGGTTAAAGAAGCTGCATGGAATTTTGGATTGATTTACCAACTTTTCTACTTGTCAACTATTGGAAGAAGAGATATATGGGCAACATATTCCATTTTAAATGGTTACGTTTTCTCTTTGTTGTTGTTGTTAGCTCCTAATACTCTTTCACATGAAGAAAAACAGGCTTATAATAGGAATGTGAAAATCCTGCTTAGGAATGCTAAAAAAAAACAACACAACAACAACACACACACACACCTTAATTTGGGTTTTCTGGAACTTTCTTTTCCCAAGTAAGCAGCCCATTTTCTTGTGGGTAGAAAGTTTCCTCCTAACACATATAAGTAAAGAGGTCTCTCAAGCAGGAAGAGTCAGGAAGGATAAAAAAAGAATAGGTAAAACTACGGATAATGCCAAACCAGATTGTGTTTGGATAAATTACTTCTTCCGTTGATTCCTTAACAACGGTAAAGCAAAGCCATTAACATTGGATTAAATATCCCAAGAATTAATTGAACATTAAAGAAATGAGGCTACTTGTGTTCTACTTTTGTTTTTCAGCATGAAATGGAATATTCAGACTCTTTCTTCCAGCTTCCTGTGGAACAGAGTTACTCCCAGGGTGGGTGGTGGAAGTAGTGTTCCCAGGTAACCTACAATTTGCACATCAGTTGATATTTTTATCTTTTTATCATCTTATTCATTTCCTTCCTATTCCTTGTCCTCCCATCAACTTTACAATTCCCTAAGTACCAGAAACAAAGGAAAGGCTGGGCCCTCTATCAGCCAACTCATAGAAGATCTAGAATTTCCTTTCTGTGGGGCAAGCACACCCTATTTCTGCATAGAAAGAGCCAGGACATAGTGGTTCATCTCTCAGGGGTTCTCCCCTGGTATAAATGGGGGAAATCCTTTAAAATCCCCTGAGGTATAGCGATTACTTGTGCAGTGTATATGACACTCATTCCACAAACTCAGATATGCCATAAATAACATATCTTTATTTTATTTAAATCAAATTAAGTAAGACTCTAAACCTGCCTTCCACTGGGCTGGTAGAAGATTTAATTTCATTCTTGATTGGCAATGGAGTTCCCCCTTTCCCTAGGACAGAAGAGTCCAGAGGTCCTTGCCTGGGAATGGAGGGGAACCAAGACTCCAGTTTATCATGGTCAACACTTCTGTCAGGTCCCAGAGCCAAGGTGATCTCCTGAAGGCAGGTAACCCTATTGCTTTGGGGTCAAGCTTGAGCAGGGATCTCTGACAAGTCTGGGAGCCCCATGGTCCAAGACTGAGCCTCATCAGGTACCCCACAAGCCATCTCTTCAGAAGTTCTTTCCAGCACCAGGCACCGCCAGGGAGCAAGGATTGAGATCTACTTCTCTCTCTCTTGGAGGAGGCTGCCATATTGCCCACATAAGACACACTAAGCTTCCTTCCCTATTTTGGAGTTAGATCCCTCTCCCCACAACTCTCTCGGCATTTCCCATATGTTCTGTCTTTTCAGCATCTCTCCAATCATATCCATCTGGGGATACCTCATAGTCGGGTAGTATTACCTGCTTATGCTCTCCAAAGAAGCAGATCCCCAATCCCCCCAAAACTGGTCTTTAACTCAGGCCCTTCTAGAAACTCTGGTTTCTCTGAACACTAAGGGTCTGAAGGCAACTTCTGCTTTCCCTTTACACTTGAAATCTCTTAGATAAGGCCTAGTCATTGTTGATGGTCTTTTGTTTCTTCTTTATATTTTAATGCACATTTATTTACTTAAACACATTAAGCACACCAATTTCACATTTGGTCTCTAATCGTTGTATTACCTGCTGTCTTTGTGACTCTTATTCTGTGGTTGTGGTTTCTGTTGACTCTCACTTATGGTGACTTGTTTCCTAGTGTGTTTGCTGATTTCTGTTGGGACTTCATGTTCCCTGGAACTTTACCTGTGGTACATCTGGGTTTGAAGTGTGTTCCCTCAGAGTGGTTTCCTGTTTGCTCCTGCCTGCCACCTGGGACACTACCAGCCTGGAACCTTCTTATAAAATTATGGGCTTAGGATTTGGGGGGCCTCTTGAGAACTAT